CCTGGGGTTGGGGGTGGGGGTGGGGGTGGGGCAGGCTCCAGTCCCTCCCGGCTGCGCTGTCCACCTCTCCGCCCCCTGAGTGTTAGGGGCTGGGCTGTGGGGAGGGGACGGGCGGCCCTGACTCCCTCCCCGGTCTCTTCCTCTGTCTCTGCCGCCAGCTCTCAGCCTCTCTCCACCTGCAAGATGGTGAGTCCCCTCGGGTCCCTCCCCCCATGCCCAAGGCCCCCCCAGACAGAGAGCCCAGAGGGCAGCTTCTCCCCAGAAGCCCAGGCCCCTCGCCAGCACATGCCCCCTGGCCCCGTCCTGTGTCGGGACGAGCAGCTCCTGTGGGTCAGGGGCTCTTCTCTCCCATCAGCCTGGCAGGTGGGCACTGCTGGTCTCCCTTGGCATCCATTCATTCTGCAACGTTTATGGAGCACCTCCCAGGCACCGGCACCATTCTAGGTTTGGGGGGGAGTGACAATGAACCCCGTCTGGGCTCTCAGGGGGTTCGCCTTCTACGGGAGGGCACGAGGCTCAGAGTTTGGCACTGACTGGTGAGCTGGGACCCAGACCTCTGCCCTCCTGGCCGCGTGCAGCACACTGTCCCCCGGTCACCGAGGTGATGCTTTTGGTCCAAGGTTCATCAGCACCCAAGGGTGGGACAGGACAGGCACCTAGCACCCACAGGTCCAAAGAAATCTCATGACTTGTCCCAGGTGGCCAGCTGGTCCCCTGGAGGAGAGGCCCACTGTGTTCGCTCGAAGCCTCTGAGCAGCCCCAGGTGGGAGTCAAGGATGTAAGATTTCACCCAAAAGCAGCATTTCCATGGCTCAGAGCTGAAAGGAGGGGCATCTGCCTGCTTCTTCCCTACCCATCCCCAGCCTGGGGGTGGGCTTACAGGAAGTCCGACCCTGGGGACGGAAAGGAACAGATTCACCTATAAATCCAGGTCTCAGCAGAGCTGCATGAAGGTGGATGGGTCACGGAGGCCAGAGAGACACCAGCAGCCAAGAACGATGCTGGGTTATTCTGCTCACTTGTTCTGTCAACAAACATTCACTGAGCAGCCAGCCTGTCAGGCACTGTTTTAGTGCCAGGGCTGCAATGAAGAACAAAACAGACTAAAACCTCTGGCCCTGTGAACCAAGCTAGGGCAAACCAGGGGGTGGGGGTGGGGGAAGGGAGGACCAGCCAGCGGCACCCTCCCCCCGCTTCCCCCCTGAGGGCACTGCACGTACAGTCTGCAAAGCATTCCCACCTACACATTACGGTCTTCATTCCCCAATCCAACCGCAGCCTCCCCTGGTTCTTGGGGCGGGGTCTGCCCTGAATGTAACCCAAGGTTAAGTCACTTTTGAGTGACTTAATGCGCCCCTTGCGCTCACCCTGCCCAACACCCACCACTTTCGCCCCCTGCCCCCCAGCTCTCCTCGGATCAGCTGGGTCCCCAGTGGGACTGCCCCCTGGGCTCCAAGGGCCTGGAAGACAAGGAGGGCCCATGGGGAGGAGGCTCGGGCCTGCCACCCCCAGACTGCTTCCCTGGCTCCTGGCGCCTCGACGTGGGCCTGGACTGCAAGGGCTCCCCCGAAGGGGCAGAGGCGCGGGCCTGGACTGCCTACTACTACAGCCTCCTGCAGAGCTGCCTGCAGCAAGCTGGCCTTCCGGAGACCCAGGACCGCAGCCAGGTGCCCCGCACAGGTGCCCAAGGGCTCCACGGAGGGGGAACCCCTGGGGTGAGGGAGGTGCCCGCAGCCCAGCCTGCTTCCCTCCCTGTCAAGGTCAGTCCCTTCCCCCAGGCTGTGACTAGGTCTGAAGCCCGGGCCAATTTCGGGCAGGCAGGCAGGCAGGCATTGTTTCCACGGGCCTCTGGCACCAGTCACTTCAGAGACCCAGGCTTCCCTCCACCCCCAGAAGGTCCAGCCCCGGAGTTTGCAGCCCATGGTCTGTGGAGCCCCAGCTTCCAGAGAAGTGTCTTGTCTTGGGAGCCGCAGTAGAGGCAGCCAGCAGATGGGACCCCAGCCTCTTTGCCTGCTGTACCTATTTTACGTATCAGTGGCCACCAAAGCTCTAAAATACAGGAAGAATCAGCCTCGGCTGCGTTGTACAGACTGGAAAACGAGGTGCAGAGGCTCCTCCTCCCACTGCACAGGGGCCAAGGGTCCCAGGAAAGTCAGTGGCGGAGCTCAGGCTAGAACCAAGGTCTCTGGTCACGCCACCTCCAGCGCCTTCTAGACCAGCTGCAGAGAGAAGGGAGCTAGCCTGGGGGGGGCGGGGGGCGCTTCCTCTTCCCTCTCTAGCTTCCCCTCTGTCCCTTTAACTGCTCTCATCTATACCCAGAAGGGCCATGGGGGTCAGGAGAGGTGGGCAGGGAGAAAAGCAGGGAGCCCCTGGTGAGCTTGGCCTGTTCTCTTCCCTCGAGGCTGCCCTGGGGCAGAGGTGACCTTATGCGTTCTGGGATCCCCCAGCACCTTTCTGTCTGTGCTGCTGGAGGGTGGGGTCCAGAGTCCCGGTGAGTGTGCACCCCACCCCCTCCTACAGAAAGGGCAGCCCTGCCCTGGCCCAGCCACATCCCAAAATACCCGCCAACCCTGGCAGCTGCCAGCATTCCGGGGTGCCAGCTGCCATGCTCAGAGCGGGGGTGGGTTCTGGGAGCAGCTGCCCCCACTGCCCAGGGCCCGGGCTGGAGGAGGAGGGCATGGGACAGGAAGCCTTCCCTGGCCAGCCACTCTCCCCCGTCTGCCCACAGGAAACATGCTGCTTTGCCTGTCCCCTGCGTGGCTGACAAAGGTGCCGGCACCGGGGCGGCCAGGAGAGGCGGCCCTGCTGGTTTCCAAGGCAGTGAGCTTCCACCCGGGGGGCCTGACCTTCCTGGATGACTTCGTCCCCCAGCGCCAAGCCACCTACTTCCTGGTGGGCCTGGGACCGGGGCCTGGCCAGGGGCGGGAAGCTGCTGAGCTCGCTCGCGACCTCACCTGCCCTACCGGAGCCTCCGCAGAGCTGGCCCGGCTGCTGGAGGACCGGCTGCTGAGCAGGCACTTGCTGGCCCAACGAGGCGGCGTGGCTGTGCCAGCTACCCTGGCTTTCACCTACAAGCCACCCACACTGCTCCGGGGAGGGGATGGCAGCCCAGGACTCCGGCTGGTGGAGCTGAGTGGCAAAGAGGGCCAGGAGACACTGGTCAAGGAGGAAGTAGGGGCCTTTCTACACTCGGAGGCCCTGGGTGATGCCCTGCAGGTAACAGGCTCCTGCCCTTGAGGTCTGTGTAGATGCCACAGGATGGGACCCAGGATGGTCACCAAGTCCTGCTGGGAAGTTACCCCCACCTTTGTGTCCTGTTGCCGCCCCATCTCTGCGGCCACCCCCTGCCCTCTCATCTCCGTTTGCTCATGGGCTCCTACGGTGTGACACCTCATCCCGCAGGCACAGGGGTGGTGAGCAAGCCCCTTCCCCTTTCCGTGATTGCAGGTGGCCATCAAGCTCAGCAGCTGGCGCTGGCGGGGGCGGCAGGCACTCCGTCTGCACCCACGAGCAGAGGTGGGCACAGTGGCGGACACGGTGGTGGCATTGCTGGAGAAACTGGAGGAGGAGGAGAGTGTCCTGGTGGAGGCTGTGTGCCCACCTGCCCGGCTGCCCTCCCCAGGTGAGAGCCACCTGAGCCGGCCAGGGCTGGGAGCTCGGCTCGGTCTCCTGGCTGCTGTGCTGGGCTCAGGCCTCACCGTCTCCCCCCAGGAAATCCCCCGCCAGGTCCGGAGCTGGCTTTGCGGATCTGTGCTGTGGTGTGTCGGACACAGGGTGACAGGCCCCTGTTGAGCAAGGTGAGGGCGGCCCAGGTTTAGGTCCTGACCCTGCTGCCACACCCCAGTCCAGCCCCACTGAGCTGATGAGGGCCCCTGGACAGAGAGGACAAAATCTTTAAAAAAAATTTTTTTATAGATGTTTATTTTTTATAACATTTTAATGTTTTTATTGATATTAGAGAGAGAGGAAGAAAGAGAGAAACATCCATGTGAGAAAGAGAGGAAACATCAATCAGTTGCCTCCTGTGAGCACCCCAACTGGGGAATCAAATCCACCACCTGGATATGTGCCCTGACGGGGAATTAAACCCACCACCTTTTGGTGTTTGGGACAACGCTACAACCAACTGAGCCACACCGGCTAGGGCAAGAGGACAACATCATTCATTGAGGGGGATCTTGGTTGCCTCTGGGAGGACTCCTGGGTCTGGCCCTTTTTCATGCCCCTCCAACCCTCCCTGCGCCCCTCCCACATCAGGAGCCTTGACTGATCCCCATGCTGCCGCCCAGGGCTTGGGCTGAGTCCTCTTCCCAAGGAGCTCTTGCCCACAGAAGAGGCCGACCCTGGTCCCTGACAAACCTCCAGAGCCTGGAGCCCTTAGGTGGGGCCTCCAAGCTGGGAGATCAGGAAGACTTGGGGACCCTCCTGGGTGTACAGCTCTGGGCCAAGCAGAGAGGGAGAGGCTCAGTCCTGTCCTCAAGGAGTTGCTGGGCTGGGGCACACCAGGGTGGCACAGGTGCCCGGGGCTGCAGGAGCTAGGAGCCAGCATGCTTGGAGGCCTCAGGGAGCAGAGACCCCAGCTGGGATCGAAACCTGGGTGGAGTGCCCCAGGGGTCTAGGGACCAGATGGGCAGTGGCTGTGGAGGTGGTTTGTGCAATGTAAGTCACTTCGGAGAACTGGGCTTCTTAGATGTCCCCAGGGGTCTGGCCTGGATCTTGGCACAGGGGGCAGCATGCACGGGGGTGGGGTGGGGTGGGTGTCCTGGGAGGACTCCTCCTGGGCCAGTCCCCTGAGCCACAGCCTGCCCAGGTGGTGTGCGCGGTGGGCCGGGGGAACCGGCCTCTACGGCACCAGAACTC